GTAGGGTTTCCTAGGCTGTAACAGGAACTGATCAGCAGGTGGAGCAGCTGGTGGGTTCAAACCACCGACATTTTGGTTAGTAGCCAAGTCCTTAACTGTTAAGCCACCAGGACTCCTAAATCAATGGTAAGTCAGACTGTATTTACCTGAAAGAGTTGTGATGAGGATTAAATGAGCTAACGCACGCCCACTGTTCACAACAGTTTCCAGTACATAGTAAATATCAGTTTATGGAAACCCAAGGAGGGGTTGCTATGAGTTGGATCCGACTCGACGGCAGTGTGTTATCTCCGTGATGAACTATCCGGAAGTCATCTTGGAGACCTCCCACTGCCCCCTCATCCCTCACATTTGATCCATCAGGGCTGTTGTTGTTCTTAGGTGCTGTCGAGTCGGGTCTGACTCATAGCGCCCCTCCAAACAGAACGAAACACTGCCCAGGCCTGTGTCAGCCTCACGATCCTTACTATACCTGAGCCCATCGTTGCAACCACCATGTCAGTCCATCTCATTGAGGGCCTTCTCCTCTTCTGTCAACCCTCAACCTTACCAAGCATGACGTCCTTCTCCAGGGAATGGTCCCTTCTGACAACATGACCAAAGTAAGTGAGATGAAGTCTGGCCATTCTCGCTTCCAAGGAGCATTCTGGCTGCACTTCTTCCAGGACAGATTTGTTAGTTGTTCTGGCAGTCCGTGGGACTTTCAGTATTCTTCGCCAACACCACAACTCAAAAGCATCAACTCTTCTTCGGTCTTCCTTATTCATTGTCCAGCTTTCACATGAAGATGAGGAGATGGAAGATACCCTGGCTTGGGTTAGGTGCACCTTAGTCTTCAAAGAGACATCTTTGCTCTTCAGTACTTTAAAGAGGTTTTTTGCAGCATATTTGCCCAGTGCAAGATGTAGTCTGATTTCTTGACTGCTGCTACCTATTCTATGGTAATAAAACTTATTTATAAGGCAGGAGGAAGGAAGCAAGGCAAAAGCTGTCACTGATATTAAGTCATGTAATAGAACATTAACAGTCCTTATTAGCCAGGATATGGAACGCTTAGTCATTCTGTGGTTTGCACAGTGCTCTTGTTTGTTTCTGTGTTCAGACATGATCACGCGTGGTCTTGATGTTCTCTCGAGCCTTCTCCGTCCCAGTGTGGCCTTGGCTGATGTGTGTGAGTAGGTTGGTTTGTGCTCCGCAGGGGAAGCCCAGGATGCCGCAGTGAGGGCCAGGCTGCTCCTGGCCGTCTGGGCTGCTCCTGGCCGTCTGGGCTGGCTTTTCTTTCTTATCTGGACTGTCATTCACCCCTTCTACAGTCCTTCCCCACCCCTACTTTTTAAATGTGATTTGGGTGAAAGTTTACAGGGCAAATTGGTTTTCCATTCAACCCTTCCTACACATTTTGTTTCGTGCTGTTGATTGCAATTCCCACAATGTCACAGCCTCTTCCCACTTCCTCCCTGTGGTTACCATTTCCTTCCATCCTTCTTTCCTATCCATTCCTGCCTTCTGAGTTTTGTTGTTGTTGTTGCTATGTGCCATCAAGTTGTCTCCAACTCCTAGTGATCTCTCCTTGGGTTTCTGAGACAAGATCACTATGGAAGTAGATTGCCCAATCTTCCTTCCAAGGAGTGGCTGGTGGGTTTGAACCACCA